CCAGTGTGACCGCGGCCTTAGAGACTGAAACACTTAGATAACAAAAGAGTATTCCTCTGTTGACGACGCTACGAAAGCTTAGAGCCTTTAACTCATTATACAACACACAGTAGCTTAAAGTGCACGTAACCTCTGATACGATACTTGATTTTCTACATAATGTGATTATTTAAATGGAGAAATCTATCTTCATTTGAACGTTGCGTCTTTAAGTTATGAAGGTTTATACTTCCAATATGTTGATGCTGCAATGTAATATATACAGTATGAGTGGCCGTGTTGTATCAGGTATATAAAGAAAGGCGTAGCGAGAGTTTGTATATCGTATATACAACACAGACACGAATATTGTATATTGCTTAACAAACGTCTAGGTTAGTTCATTTGTGTTTCGCTAAAATTTTCAAGATAAAAGTGAATCTGCCCAAGAAAATCCATCTTAAAGTTTATGCAAATGAACACGATTCTGTATCAGAATTATAAAACTCGTCACGGTCGTGATCTCTATTGTGTTTTCATCCTGAATTATTAATGATGTTTTAAAGTAGTAATCAAGTACTGCTCGAGAATATATATCTTACATTATAAACGACTGCGCGAAAGAAGGAGAAAGAAGCATGCAAGTTATTTTCGTAGCCACCAGCACGGTTGTTCTAACCGAAATACTTTTTGCCCCGTCAGAATAATTTTTCTTCCTCGTAGAATAATATTTAACTAAGGCCCCGTCCACACGTAGCCGGAAATTTTTGTATCCGTATCCGGAAATTTTCGAAAACGGTCTCCAGAGTGGAAACTTTCGAATACGCTCCGAATACGGATACGTGTGGACGGCCGTATCCGCAAATTTTCGAATACGCTGGCGTAAACACGATTTTGCGCATGCTCAATAAGAAAAGCTATCCATCAAAGGGACTGTGCACTAGCGTGCATCAGAGAGGATGAAGAAATTTCCGGATGCGTGTGGACAGTGAAAACGATTCGAAAACGATTCGAATACGCTGCGTGTGGATGCAAACGTTTTCGAAAAAAAAAAAAAAAAAAAAAAAAAAAAAAATGAAAAAGAAAAAAGAAAAAGAAAAAAAAATTTGCGGATACAAATATTTCCGGATATTGTGGACGGGGCCTAAACCAGTAGTGGTAGTAAAATGATGTCATCATGAAAACGGCCTCGAGTTGCATCACTAGATACGTCTAATTAACATACTTCCCATGTACCATTGCGGTCTCAGCTTCTATGTTCTATAGTTTTGAATCTGAAAGGATTTTGGAATTCCGATGTCTTTTTTCCTTCAGATATGTCCCCGATGTGTCTGTCCCAGTCAGTGAAGTACATACAGCAGACGGCCATACAAGGACCATCATCACAGTCAACGACCAGTTCCCAGGTCCAGCCATTGAAGTCATGGAAGGAGCACAGGTATATAGACTGCTAATTGTTGTCTGCCAGTCGATGATTAACCGAATGTTTACATACAGCTATATTCCAAAAAAGGTTGCTGAAGGTTTTGTTGTTTGCTGCTAATCAAGCCAAAGATGTACAATGGGCGCGTGCAACGTGCAACGTGCATCGTGCATCGTGCATCGTGCATCGTGCATCGTGCATCGTGTAACGTGCCACGTGCAGCGTGCAGCGTGCAGCGTGCAACGTGCAACTTGCAACAAAACCTTCAGGATAACCTTTTTAGAGTCTCTAAATACTGATGCAAGCTTCAAAATTCAAGGTTAAATACTTAAGTAGAAAAATAAATAAAACAAAAATATTGGATGCCAAAAATAAGATATTTCTTACATTACCTGTTCTAGGTCGCTGTGAACGTAGTGAATGAAATGCAGGAAYCAAGTCTTACAATTCATTTTCATGGTATGCATATGAAAAACAATCCATGGATGGATGGGACAGCTTATATTTCTCAGTGTCCAGTGCGTCCTAAGGTAAAGCAATCTTAGTAATTAAACTGTCTAACAACACCTGAGAAAAATCTTGATGCCATTTGCTTTGAAAAAGAGTAGTTATTCGTAAAATCATCTCCTAAGAAAATTTCATTATTTTTTTCTGTTAAAAATTGAAAAGGAATAAGCGCAGCGAACGAGTGAAATATTTTTCAACATGAGGAGATAAACTTCGTATCTTCAAGCCAACATGTAATGAAGAAATAGAAAACGCGCGCGCGTGCTGTGTGCTGTCATATAAAGCACGCGGGGGTTGGCAGAACACGAGAGAAGTGTTAGGAGAAGCACGACGCGTAGCGGAGTGCTTCTGGACACTTCTCGAGTGTTCTGCCAATCCCCAAGTGCTTTATGACTGCACACAGCACAGCAAGCAAGTTTTTTATTTTATTTTATTTTATAAAATACAAATTGCAATAATAGATAGGAATGACGCAACGGAAAGTGCGCGCGCGTGCAATGTGCTCTCATAAAGCACGCTCTCCAAACCAATCGGAACGCGACATTCATAACAGTTATTCTATAATTTTTTTAATTATACATCACAAACTAAAACTTGTTGAAAACATTGGAAAGGACTTCATCGATATCTTCACTAATGAGATATTGAAAATATGTTACTGGGGTCCCCGGATGTTCGTATAAAAAATACGAGTGACGTATTTTCCAGTAACACACACTAATGTTTATATGATAAATGATATTACGGTCTCCTACAAGCACTTTTGTCTTCGAAGATGATTATAGTGCGTGGCGTTTCTTCGTGGTAAGAATTAATCTTCCGCGGCCTCAATCTACATTTCAACTGATGTTTCTACAGGAAAGCTTCCAGTACAGATTTATAGCAACCCCAGCAGGAACCCATTGGTATCATTCACATTTTGAAGGGCAGAGAGCAGATGGATTATTTGGGCCTTTGATAGTTCATAGGTAGGTTTTCAATTCAAAGTTACCTTCCACCGACAGTCAGCTAATCTAAAATAGTAAAAATACACAGGTGAAAATCTCGCGCGCTGATTGGTCGAGAAACTCATACTATCACACGATAATCGCCTCCAGCGATAATCAAAAATGGCGGCCAGCCGCTTTATTGCTGTTACCGGAAAAAATGCCTTTTATCTTCTTTTYTTAATTTTTTATGTTTATGACGTCACATACTCCAAAAAATGATCGTAAAAATATCATACTTTCGTCCTGAATATCGAGAAAACACTTCATACAGTGATTATTGGACCTTTAAGAGTGTTCTTAGGAAGTTTCAGCTGAATCCAAGTTTGAGCGATTTTCGTCAGAGTAGCACTTTAAGGCCTTTTCTTTTTTCCTTTTCAGGTCTAAACCTTCCATTCAGTACATGACGCTGATGATCAATGATTGGTACTCAATGCCTGCAAAGGAAATCTTGTTAAGAAGTCCTTTTTTTTTACCAAAGGGAGGCATTGGAGATATAATGGATGATCCTGTCACAAGAAGTGAGATATTCCATATTAATCTTGTGCTATGCGCATGCGTCAAAAACCAATCAACCGAAAATAACAGAATCAACACGAGTGAAAAACGTCTGCGCATGCTCTGAATCCGTATGCGAATTAGTCAAAACATAAGTAAATTTGACTTTCAAACATTCCTGATAAATTGGACTTCACAAAATGCCAAAACTTAGTGTCCATGCTTGAAACTTAAGGCTAATTCTTTCATATTGTGTTTGTTAATACAGTATCTTGGTTTGACAAAAGTATACTCTTGAACTTTTTTGTATACTTGGAGAAAACAAACATTTATTTTCTCGCTCAATTTCTTCAAAATTCTTAGAAAACGGGCTGAAGTGCACGCATGCGCAAACGTTTTTCTCTAGTGTCAACAGAATCAGTTGGGAAGCACGACTGAGACTGAGTGGCGCACGGTACTTGGGAACCTTCACCTATCACCAACATGGACAGCTAAATTCTAACTTGATCTGTGAGTTAGCCATGCCCTGACCTAGATCAGCCCAGAGGTTGTTTCAGGGTTTGATCTGTGAGTTAGCCATGCCCTGACCTAGATCAGCCCAGAGGTTGTTTCAGGGTTTGATCTGTGAGTTAGCCGTGCCCTGTCTTAGATCAGCCCAGAGGTTGTTTTAGGCTATCATTTTAACTTGGATTCTGTTAACATTGGCCAACGATTCTTTTCGCGCAATTGGACTGTCAGACATTCCTCGTTATCTTTCGAATGCTTTTTCATAGGTTACATATTTGATGGGACAGAAACGTCTGCGTTACGCTACTGGTCTGGTCTTATCAATGGACGAGGACGACATGGTAACAACACGTCACCACTCAGTGTTTTTAATGTCAAATCTGGACAGAAATATCGGATTCATCTAATATTTTCTAGTCTGGAATATAATTATAGGTGGGTAAAATATTACAATTGTACCATCCTTCCAATAAAAGCACCGACACCTGGTGCAACATTGCTCGCAACATTGCAGGCAGTGTTGCTAAAATAGGATAGTTTTCTACTTCAGCAACGTTGCGTGCAACAAATTGCGTCGTGTATCATGGCTTGCAACATCAATTCCATGCAGCATTGCGCGCATTGTTGCACCGTATGTCCGTAGCTTAACTGTTCTTGACTGCGCAGGTTCATTATATCCATATTGCTTTTAGAACTGATGAAAAGAGAAGCACTTTCCCTGCGGGTAAACTTTGCTCGTCAGAAATGTCAAAAATGACCACTAAAAGGAACCTGAAATGGCTTCCCGTTGTCTTCTACTGGGTAATTCATCTAATCAGAGCGCGTAGTTACGGTTACGGTACGGTACGATACGGTACGGCGAATGTAGGGCCATGAATTTCCCGAGTCGTTTCCCACTCACATAAAAACCACTCTAAGATTCTGATATTACATGTAACTTCTGATTGAATTCCATAGGTTTTCCATCGATGAACATGAGTTCACAGTGGTAGAGACTGATGGATACCCGGTAAAACCTGTTCGAGTCGAATCCCTTCTTGGCTTCATGGGCGAAAGATTCGTCGTGGAGTTTACTGCAAACCAAAGCGTTAAAAAGTATTGGATTCGAGCAAAGGTGGTGAGAACTGGACTCGGCAAACATCCTGAGCCTGATGGAAAAAATGAAGAGACTCTGGCTATTCTACAGTACGAAGGAGCAAATGGTGGAGAACCCGAGACGAGTCCTATAAACTGTACAGAAAGCAAGCCTTGCCATGTACTAAACTGCCCTTGGACAAATTATCATAAAGAATGGCATCCTAATCGTCAATGCATTCCCATTTCTGACCTGAGGCTCGACACGAATCTATTCGAAGATGAAGTCAATCTTAATACACCCAATAACCAAATTTTTGAAATATTTTTAAACTCCGGGTTTCCCATTGGGAGTTCAATTAATAAACTTAGAAATGTTATGCCAAGAGCGCCATTGTTTCAAGAGTCTAGTACCTGGGGAAACCAACCATGTGCAGTTGATTGTAATGATAAAGGCTGCTTATGTACGCACGTGATCGATCTACCACCCAATAGGACTATACAGATGGTACTGTCTTCGAATTCTTTGGCATTGACGGAAAAGAATGGAACGATCAATGATATCACGACTATGCATCATCCAGTTCATATACACGGACACAGCTTTCAGGTAAGGAGCTTAATGGTCTCCTTCACAGTTCCCTGCGCCATCTTGAAAGGTAACCGTGCCTTTGCATCGAAGCGAAACGAACGAAAAAATTGCAATGATAGAGGCATGTGAATAATTGTCCAAGGTGTTAAAAAAGGTCTCTATCATTGCAAACTCACCGTTCATCTCGCTTCGATGCACAGGCACGGTTACCTTTCAAGATGGCGCAGGGAACTGTGAAGGGGACTATTGCCGTAAAATTCCAGTTATACACCGAATCGAAATATCGAAATTTGAATAGCTGGTCAAAATGGGAAAACGGTCTTACGTTTCCACGTGAGCACGAGGCGAGTCAGTCTCTAGTCAGTGCAGAACAATAGTTATCTAAATTGGTCGGCATATTTCGATCCGGTGTATAGACCAAATTCAAAACTCGCACCGATGTGAGGCTTAAGTTGTGAACAAAGGAATCTGGCGTGATTCGTGACTTTTGAATCACGCCAGATTACTTTGAGTCACGCCAGATCCCTTTGTTYACAACTTAAGCCTCACATCGGTGCGAGTTTTGAATTTGGTCTATACGGTGAAGGCTTTCAAGTACCGTAAGTCCTCTCAGTTGTACTGTTTACTCTAAGTCTGCTATAAATGCAAATAGACGAGGAAAGACCGTGAACAATCGGGTTTGTCAACCAATCAGATTGCGAATCGAAAACAATAGAACTCGAGTTACAGGTATTGAAAATCTATGAAAGCTATATATTCAAGGAGATGAAATGATGAAAGAGAAAAAAATTCACACAAATGAATATTAAATTAACTCGAGAGTTAACGGTTATAGTAGAACGACATTAAATGTTCTCGATGAAAATAAATAAATAAATATTTAAGAAAATCATTTTAAAAATGTATATATCGATTTCAATAAAATTTAAGAAATYTTGAAATAACTTTTACAATCTTTTCTGATATTCATCTAGGTGCTCAAAATAGGATTTCCAATCGCCAATTCTAAAACTGGAAGGATCGAAAAACAAAATCCAGATTTGATTTGTGAAAATGAAGCCTGCAGTAAACAAAGATGGGCAGAAGGACAACCCACAGGTTTGAACTTCGACAACCCTCCAATAAAAGATACTGTAAATGTCCCTGCTTCTGGATACGTGGTGATAAGGTTCAAGAGTGATAATCCAGGTAACCTGACTAAAGCAAGTCTGAATGTCAACGCTTTGATTCATTAGTTATTTCCAAAGCTTTTCCAAAGTTTTTAAAGTTAGCGATTTTTTGCCAGTTGTAAAGTTGGAATTTTTATTATCAGTTTATAAAGTTTGCAATTGCTGTCGGTGAAAGATCCGGCCGTGTTCAGATAGAATAACTCAGGTTAATAGCATCTAGAAGGCCAATTAATTTGTGAGAGTAAGCTTTGTCCTTTCAACTGGTATGATGGCACAGGTTAGTACCATCTAGAAGGACAATTCGTTGAGCTTGGTAGGATAACGTAGGTTAATACTGTCTGAAGAAGAATTCATTTGTGAGAGTAAGGTTAATACTATCTAAAAGGGCTATTCATTTGTTAGAGTTAACTTTCTTCTTTGGCAATTATTTTTTACCAACCCATTACTAAAGGTGTCATATTTTTGTGCCAGTATCTAAAATTTATATAGTATTCTCTGCCAGCCAGGTTCTAAGTTTGGCAATTTTTTATACCATTTTCTTAATTTTGCAAACTTCATTTTCATCATCATCCTTCTCTTACTATCAAACACCAAAAATGGTTTAATTCAAGTTTCTTCAATTTGGAGGGACTCTTGTTTTTACAGCCATAGTTATTATCATTCATCAAAAGGCGTCATTTCCATTATTGTCATCATTATCAGTCTCTTATCAAACAACATATACACTCATGCTTTATTTCTTGAAAAAATATAGTTGACTTCGTATTTTACTTTAAACCTTTTCTTCATATTCTCAGTTTGTTATGATTTATTTACTCAATATTCCTTGCAATTCCCTCAGGATACTGGTTCTTGCACTGTCATCAGTTGCTACACAATATCGAAGGGATGTCCCTAATATTGAATGAATCCCATGCAAGTCTACCTCCTCCACCTACTAACTTCACAACGTGCGGGGAATTTAGTATGGACAGTCGCGAGTTTGAAATGATGCTTGAGAGGAACAAACAGTGTGCTTCAAAAGAATGTGGCGATAACAATGATAGTACAAGTAAAGCTTTTCGTACGGTAAGAGCACTGTGATCTATATGATCACACAGAGTACACTAGGTGTTACAAACTAGACTGCGAACAGTCCCACTTTTCCCTACAGACTCAGTAAAGACGAGTGTTTCGGGATGGTAGTCGACTCGCGCGGAGATTACAGGAATCTTAAAGCACTCGTCCTTGCTGGGGAAGGAATGGTGGAACTRCTCGCAGTCTGATTTTTAAACCAGACGCCATATATACTTAAGATTCCTTTGTAGGCATGTGTTGTAGAGATCTCGTGTATAGACCAGGCCCTTGCATGTGACGTCAAAGCAGCTTCACCTGGGAGACAAGACATAAGAATTCCAATCTCCTAAAGAATTGGAACCTATTACTCCCCCCCGCCCCCAAATTGAGCTGCTTTCCAAAGTGCAGCAAAGGTCTGATCTATCGTCTTCATGAAAGTTGTCAATCGATGTCATAAATTATCAAAGTGATTGATATTGGGGCTGCGTGTCACGTGTCGGAAATTAATGACTACGCATGTTCTTTTTTGGTTAGCTGCTGCCACGTTCATTTATAGTGCTAGCTGTTGTGTTAGTTCAGACTGTGCCTCGTGGTTTTAAACCCGATAAAATTAAACACTCCTGCTCCTGCTTGTTTATTTAATAGTGCTTAAGCCCTGATACAATACCTTCAGTATTGATTTATAAAGCTAGGAATTTTATAATGATCGATATAATAATAATAATGATGATAATAATGATAATGATGAT